GTGAATAGGTAGAGCCACAGTGCAAGTTGTTCACTAGCTCTCCTGGCTCCCATGACCTTCGGGCAACATACGTAACCCAAACTAAAGCGACGGATAAAAACGTGGTTCATGTTTCTATATGCTTTATCTGGAGGAGAAAGTAGCTACGGACCTGCCAAGGCGACCAGACCTGGTGGGATCATGGATATGTATGAAAGAGTTTCGGTGCCAATACGCCCCTAGTTGGAACAACTTGTGGGATTTATATTACTTTTCGTTTAAGCCAAGAATATAACTTTAACAGTTTTAATTAAATAACAAAACACTTGCTAGAGTCCCGACGCTGTATTAATCCACCATTAATCTAAAGTTTAATAAAATTTCCCGTTCGACTTGAGGTTGTATGAACTTTTCGTTTCTGTTGCACATATCTGTTGCAACTGTCTCTTTATACAATATATATTTCTTTTTTATTCTTTGATTATATCTTTTTTATCTTCAATACATATGTTTTTAATTCATTATGTGTTTTTTTCTCGTTTCGAATTTTTAATTTTTCTTAACGTTTAAATTAATGAGATTTGTTCATTTTATTGTAAATTTTGTCATTTTGTGTACAAAATATGTACCATCCATCAACCAATAGATAAGTTAAAACTTAATGCAGTAAGACTTTTAAAACAGTCATATTTAATTTGTTACGTATATTTTAATTAAAAACAAATACAATAAAATATTTGAGTATGTAACATCGAAACAATATTTTACAATTCACATAGTTATACATTTCTCCTCGTCGCATCTAAATGCCCAGTTCTTTTATGGTTTACTTTTTTAATCATGGATCAATAATTAATGATTATGTTGTTTCCGAAAACGAAGGGTATCAGTTCTGAGCATTTATTCGAAAATTATCTTTGGGTCAAAATTATTCTACTGCAAACCAATTTGACTTCTCTCTTTTGCTTCTATTATAAATAAAAATATCTTAACTTGAAAAGGTGCTTAATAGAGGTATTTTTATGGACAAAGCTTTGAATTGAAGTAAGCAATTCCAAAATAACGTGTCAACAACGGTTTGAATGTTCTTGACTTCGAGGGTAACTTTGTTCAACGGAGAATTTCTTACAATCACACTTCTTACTAATTTAAAATCACGAGACCCTTATTTCTTTCGGTGACTGTTTTGGATAAACGCTTTGTTTGGTATTTATCTTTAAATACAACAGTTGTCTATATATTGTCATTTGTGTTGTTAAACTTGTTAACAATTAATTTTGTTTCAATGGATTTATTAGCAGGAAAATATCTTCATTGTATATACAGCGTGTCTTTACCATCGCGACAATAAATGAACACACATATAGAGCATAACTTTTTAAAATTGTATTAATCATTTACATTCTTCAAACATCAATATTTACCGAGGTATTAAATTTTCCAAAACAAACAATTTTAGAACACCCTTACGTATAAAACTGTAACCGTAAAGTTCATTTGTAAAGGTCACAAAGCATATGAATGGGTTGAATGAATTTAAAAGAGACAAAACATACTGTTAGAAGGAGAGGCTTGTAATGGGACGCTGTGGCGCAAGTTGTATAGGATGTTACAAATTTTGTTTCTTTTTTATTTAATTAGTTTGTTTGAAAAATATTTTTTTTAATTATGGATTTTGTTTAACGTTAATATTGTTTTCTGATTATTGGCAAGTAGCGTTAGAAGTGTGTTCATTTATTGTCGCGATGGTAACGACACGCTGTATATCTGTCGTAACCAAATGGCTATTAAAATCGGCTATATTGTGTTTGATCAGACACTTATCGGCTATTGAGACTGATCTCAAACATAATCCAAACTAATATTATAAAGAGGAAAGATTTGATTTTTCGTTTTCGTTTGTCTGTTACGATTTAACTCAAAAATTACTCGACCGATTTCATTTTTAAAAATTATTTTACCATTAATTAACATTTACAAAAGTTACATGTATACCGAGTAACATGGGCTATATTATATTTTCCAAATAAATTGAGATCCCTAGCTAAAATGGAACAATGTAACCCAAGGTATCAAAATGTTTCCTAGAAAAACAATTATTTTTCGTGCGCTGCGAAAACTAGTAACGACAAAAAAAATAGTGTTCTATATATTGACTTTGATATTGTTTGCTTACAAATATAAGTATTGTCTTACTACTTTAACCCCGTATTCTCATGGGAACGGGAACTACGCGGGTGAATTAAATTACACTACTGGTCGAAATACGACCATAATCAATTATTATATAGTAGTGTGTGTAATTATTTTTATTGATTTAATGTATCTTTTATGCATATTTAAAAAACATATTAACATTCTGCACCCTTCTCTATATGAACTACTAGCTGTGCCCGCGACTTCGTCCGCGTGTATTTTAAAATTAAAAAAAATCTAAAATAAAAGTAGCCTAAGTTACTCCATATTACATCAGCTGTCTGCCAGTGAAAGTCCCGTCCAAATCGGTCCAGCCGTTTCAGAGATTAACCGGAACAAACAGACAGACAGACAGACAAAAATTGTAAAAAATGTTATTTTGGTATATGTACCGTGTTTACATCCATGTGCATGTAGTAAAAAGCGATTATTTTAATATTACAAACATTGTGGGAAATTTCATATTCTTCCGTCCGCGCAATTTTCGTAAAAAGGGATACAAAGTTTTTGCTTCACGTATTAATATATATAAGCTATATCTTTCTTATCCTATACGAGCAATTCTTGTATATATATATCGGAATCTCGGAAACGGCTCCTGCTCTTCCCAGTGTCCTCCAAGTACTACATATTAATACGTGAAGCAAAAACTTCGTATCTCATGAAAATTAGCCGAGCTATCACAATTTTTGCGGGCGAAGTCGCGGGCGAAGTGTTAGGAGTAGTAGTTGATAAACAGCGACTTGAGGTACAAATTTTACAAGAGAACAAGGAGGAAAAAAACTTAAAAATGAAATGAGAAATCGGCTAGTGCTCGATCCTGGGAAAGGAACGTTTATTATGATTGTCAAACATTTATCTCTGAACGAGTTCTATTTGTCGCTGTCGTTTCAAATTTCGCGTACCGGTTGCTTGTGAATTGATATAATGACGGCGATTTTTTTTTACTTGTAAAAAATAACTAGTATTTTACTACTATCCTTTATCTTATATAAATGCTTGCTATCTTCATATTAGTGGTAAGTAAAGAAATAAAAGAATTTTCACTCTTGTCTTATAGTCATCTTAATAGAAAAGATGGACTGTCATATATAATTATATAATAGGTTGGGGGAAAAATTTCTTCACATTTTATATGAAAATTCAAAACATTTTTAATAAAGTTTATTTACATTTAACTAAAGTATTTAGGTGCCGTTTTGTTCAACAACTTTCTGACATCTTGTAGGTAGGGAAATGATCCCATTGATATAGTATCTGAATGTAACGCCTTCAGCCTATTCTACGCAGACGTAGTCGCGGGCAGCAGCTAGTTGAAAATATAGTATCAAAAGATGCAGAAACATCAACAGAAGGACAATGAAATAGTTCTACTGTTCATAATCATAACACAGTTCGTTTAGGAATTGCGTAATATCCGCCTACGCTTTATACTAGAGCGCAAAAGATAATACTCAATTATAAGAGTTGTATTTCTTCTCAATAATTAAGTAACCAGGTTCTGTGTCGGAAGTCTGGTTTTTAACTGTTTCCAGTAAAATCTAAAGTCCTTTTAGTCGGAATAAATAAATATTTCATTACCAATTTCTCATTATGCATATATGTATGTATATAAATACTTATATGCTTAATTGACCATCACAAAAGAAATTTTATAAAAAAAACTTATGAGATAGATGAGAAATGTTAGTTTGGTATTTCAAATGATTTTATAACAAGCTAACAAAGCAAACAAAAACACCATGCAAAATATGTTACATCTACTTATCTTCTAGGCTATAGTATAGCTTATTCAAACATTATGAATTACAAAGGTAGCGCTCTTACAAAGGTTACATTACTTTTAATTCACTCAATATTAGATTCGAGTTTGATGTAACAACATAAATTTGTTTTTGCTTTCGGAAAACTTTATTGTATTAAAAAATTACAGTTTAATATAGAGAAACCTACAAAACAAAGGGTTCATTCTTAATACTTTTCAATGTGATCAAGTTATGAAAACTCAGTTTAGAAAAGTTGAGAAGATATTACACCACAAAAAAGTTAATATTTTTTTTATTTAAGAGCGCAAAATCTAAAAGCTTCATAAACTATATAATAATGCTGCTCCATAGAAAAGGACATACAAATGAATTAATAGCTTCGCATATATTCTAGCATATATTCTATGAGTGCCGTACCGGGTTATTAATTCAAACACGGTACTGGACACTCATTCATTATATTGTTATAAAAGATGATGATGATGCACGTTAACAACGGGCCTGCCCATTCGTGCAACAGCCGAGGCTGCTGCGCGGCCCTACCACCGTTAATAGAGTATATATGTCCTGTGGACTGATGTCTCCTGCGTCGGCACCGCTGGTCGTCGCGCTGACCACGTAGGCCTCTACAGTCATACGAGCAGCTGTATTATACAGCGCACCATCAAAGTTTGCGCGCTTCGCTTGCGCCCCGGTTCCACTCGCACGTTATCATTACTTTGTGGTTCCTACAATTCCAATCGTCCTTCTACGTTGGTTAAGATCCAAAATACATATAAAATTTTACTTTGAACAATTTATTTAAAGAAACGCTTTAGCAGAAAAAAGCTTTAGCTTCATCAAAGTCCAAAGATATTCAGTTTGCTTATGACTAGCGTTTACGCCTATTTAATTTATTATTTAACAGAAATATTATGTTTGAATTAAAATTTGCTGCAGTTTACGTAACATAAGTACATTCTGAACGAGGATATTACTATGACAGTTCTGACCTGATCACGCTTGAAGAAATATAATCTTCTTAACTTTGCTTTATATTGTTCATTCGATTTGTTTCAGATTGCGCCATACGTCTACGGGCGTTGCGGTCGGGGCGGGTGCACTCGGGCCAGTTGCCCCGCACCCACGCCTGTAGACTTCTGCTCCCAGCACCATCGCCCAAGAACGCGTTGCTTGTGGAGCTTCACAAGCTCAACGTGCCCTGCGCAACCGGCTACATCCGCTTCGCACCCGCCGCGCCCCCCCTCTGCGGAAAGCTGGAGCAAATACCCCCGCCGAATAGAAGGTTCATCTACCCCCCCGCCAGGAGCGCCGAAATCGAGCTGCACGGTCGACCCACGTTCGCCGCTACCTACCGCTCAGTGGACCGCTGCCACCACGTCCTGCTGACGGCGAGGAACGGCTCGTTCGAAGTCGGACCGACCAACAGGCTGTCCTGCTCTTATCAGATCCATTTACCCTACGGCAGCAGAGTGGCTCTGAGATTGCAAATGGGCACAGCCCCTAGCGGGGGCAACGACCTCTCTAACATAATCCACGAGGACGCCCAAGCTAAATGCAAAGGAATGTCTCTAAGCCTGGAGGACGGCAACTCCCTGTGGCATCATTGCTCCCAACCCGGTGACCCTTTGCGCAACGTCCAGATAATCTCCGAGAGGAACTCGGTGCGGCTGAACATAAGCGTGCTGGGGAAGAAGAACACTCTTGCTATGTGGCTGAAGGTGTGGTGGATGGACAAGCCGATAGACGAGGTGATAGGCCACTGCGACTACGGGTGGGTGTTGTCGGGCGATTTCTGCGTGACAGCAGTCAGGGAGGCGAAGAGGGCTTGGCACCAGGCGGAGATGGAGTGTGTGAGAAGAGGCGGGCATTTGGCTAGCGTATTAAACGAGAGGCAGCAGCAAATTATTGATCAGCTGCTTTTGAATGCGTAAGTATTTTTCTCGCAAAGTTTAATTTAATAGTTTGTCATATTAGTAAATGTATATTTACCAATATACAAAAGTATGTTTGTATACTTTAATATATTACAAACAACAGCACTGGTCAACAATGACAACCAACACAGACAGAAACATACTTTCTTATATGATGAGGAAAAGAGGAAGAAGAGAAACAGATTTGCATGGAAGAATCTTTTTTCTGTCTGATTTCCACATGTCCTATCTTACATTCGGTTAGGTACTTATTACTTTCATTTTTCATACTTTTTTTATTTTAATTTCGTTTCGATTCATAGGATTGGCGTATTTATGTTCCCACTTTAAAGCTAATTATTACCTGTTTTATTTGCATTGGAGTACTTTACCTACATAAATACCTAGGTTAAATATTCTTGGCAAAACACAAGGCAAAATAAATACCCTAAATTTTAGCACGATGCTAAAATTAACTTTTATGTTTAACAAGAGCGTTTCGGTATAAGCATTTGTAAGAGCATTTTTAGAAGTTTCCTTTCCAAAGGGCGTTTTCCTAAGCGCTAATTTCAATGTCGTGGTTAAATTTTTGCTTCGGGCGATTTCATCGAGTTTTCATTAGCTCAGGTGCCCCGAGCAAAAGTTTTAGTGTGTTTCTCGGAAAACTTTATCGAGTAGATAAATGTTTGCATGCTGCACTGATTTTCCGTAGCATTGTGGAAAACGCACACGAGGTTTTGTCCAAGGAAACTAATAATACGTGTTAGTATTTATTTACGTGTTCTTGTAAATGTTTGTTTGAGGGATCAGAGGTGGATCAGAGGTGATCTTTTTTCTTTCTTTTTTGTCAAGAAGTGGCAAACGAGCGGGCGGTTCACCTGATGCTAAGTGATAACCGCCGCCCATGGACATTTTCAACAGCTGTAGGGTTGCAAATAAGTTGCCATCTTTAAATAAAGTGGGCCCCGGCTACCTCACTCACCAGACGAAATGCAGAAGCGGAACACTTCTACTTTACGCCGGTCTTCTGCGAGGTCGTGGTACTTAAACGGACGGACCTGCCCATTCGTGCAACAGTGAACTCTGTTGCGTGACCGTACTACAGTTCAGTTAAATCTTTAAATATGTTTTTACAATCACAGTTCTTTAAAATATCTTTTAAATCCCCTAATAATTTCTTGTGTTCACACGAGTATTAAACGTCTTTTTCCTTCCTCTTGCCTTTATTCACTTCGGCAAAATTTGCTCCACTTTTACGGACCGTCGTAAAAGTCTTTCGTCCTTCTGTCCTTCTGTCTTTCGTCAACCCTCCTTGGGTATAAACACCCAGATCCGCAACATTATCTGTAACCTCTAGTGCCGTAACCAATAGCTTCACAGCTGCGCACTCAATCATCGTCATAAAGTATTAAACATTGTTCAATAAAATTATTTTACGATTCTTTACGCCTAATTCTCATTTGGTTTTCCTAAATCGGTTTTGTTTCCGCCCCTTGAACATTCTGTAAACGTTGGGAAATAAATTCAGAACAAACTCGAAGAAAACAGTAAATTATTTTTAACTTTCAACCCTGTCAACGATTATCGTTGATCTTTATTCGATCATCATCATCATCATTTCAGTCTTTTCGTATCCACTGCTGAACATATCTCCCCCACAGACTGCCACAAAGGACGACCCCGGTCCAAATGTATCCATCGACTTTCCGCGCATTCCGGGGAGTCGTCATACACTGCAATTTTTATTTAATTTATGATAAATTCGCAGGCCGGGCGCTGGCGTGGACGACGTGTATTGGATAGGTGCGACGGATGCAGTGCACGAGGGAGAGTTCCGTTGGTCCGATGGCCTGCCGTTCTCTTACGCGCGTAAGTTGAATTGACCATTACTTTTGACCTGAACTCACACAGAGATACTCATCATAACATCGCTCAATAGGGAATCAATAAACAGGTAATCATGTGTTTCCCAAGTGATCGCAAACGAACAAGAAGCCTATAATGAATTAAAAAGATAATTTGCAACTTAATTTCGAGCAAAATGAAGTTAAGCTTAATTTCTTTTCTAATCTTCTTCATCTTAATTCTCCAACCCAGCTATATTTTTTCAAGTAGTCTTATAAATTTCACTTATAATATTTATTTGTATTTTTTTATTTACAATATTAAATAGCTACAGTACTTGTCTGCTGTCTAACTATAATACTTCTATAAGTGAAGGCTTGTTATTGGCTGTTTGTCATCTAGTTTAGGGTAAGTTAGTTTTGAATAGCTGTAAGTCTTCATACCTTAAAAAAATATATCACTAATACAGCAGCCGCTGCTCTTGTGTAAATTTAGTCATGCTAAAACTTATACCTAAGTAATATCCTAATCTTAAACTAAATAAATTCTTTTAAGAAACTCAACCTACCTATTCGAGCAACAGTCTTCGCTGTTGCACGAATAGGCAGGCCCATCCGGGGAAGTACCACGACTCCCCAGAAGATCGACGTGAAGTAGAAGTGTCATACTTCTGCGTTTCATCCCGTAAGTAAGGTAGCCGGGGCCCACTTTATTAAAAGTTAGCAATACATCTGCAACCATACGAATGTTGTAAATGAGGGGGGGGGGGGGCTTTAAATCAACCGACTGATAAAATACGAACCATAATTACCATCATCATCCTCCTTTTTTTCTACCACCTAAGTGGTGCCGGCACAACATGTGAATAATGGGTTTTTATCGGCCGCTTGCGTGACCGATTGACGTCAACCCTCTTTGGGAACAAACATACAGGTCTGGAACAAGTAGCTGTGGGTCACACAAATACCTGTCTCGTGTGGGAATTAAATACACGATCACTGTACCGAAGCGAATGGCGTAACAACTGCACCATTGAGTTATCAGATATAATATCAACCATTTCATGCTTGGATTCAAAAGTAAATTAACAGCCATCCCAATGTTGGGAAAAGTACTTCTCTGTATAAATCTATTAGCGTACTAACCGCGGATGGGCTGACTTCAAATCTTGTATGACCACAAGAAATTCCTAAATGAAACTATGATGGGAGAGGACCCGTGACCATGAACCCTGTAAGGGGTTCGAAACGTCGTGAGTTAAAACAAAAAATATACGCGAAAAATCCGTAAACATAGTTTCATTTAGTAATGTGTAATCGTGTAAATACAAGAAATTCATTCTCATACGCCTTAAAGTATTTCGTAATAATTTTAGCAACAACTAAAGCATTGATGCTTTTGATAAATACGACAGTCTAGACGTCGAACGATTCGTAGTATTTTTTTTACATTAAGCTCGGTCCCAATTTACATATCTAAACCATTCTCGATCGGTGAACGAATCAGATGAAACTCAAGCGAAAGCTAATTTCACGTGAAGCTTAATTACTCTCAAGGCATCTCCAACTTGGATCGAGTTAAGCTATTCATCTGGAAGTAATTAATTAAGTCTTACAAATGGTTGCCTCGAATCAGAGCGATTGTTTTTAGGTTGCTCGCTTCATTAGCACGGTGTAATGGGGCGGATTTTATTGTTGTCTTTTTATATCTAGAGATATCCCCTTTTTCTTTGGGGTGTTCAGATGTTTTTACTGGGCCTCGTGAAAACATTTTCGTTATCTTTTCGCTTTGTAATAACTACTGAAGTATGAAATCACCCTGGGTTATATTGACGTTAAGATATTTAAATAGATATTCTGGGTGTTTCTCTATTAACATTTAAATAATAAATGTTAATAGAGAAATACCCATCTACATTAATTTAGTTGCACAAATAACTAGACTGTGCGGAAATAGAACTGAATGACCGCGTCAATAGTGTTCGCCGTTGCATGAATGGGCAAGTCCGTCCGGGTAAGTACCACGACCTCACGGAAGATCGGCTAGATGTGGAAGTGTCATACTTCTGCGTGGCGAATGTTGAGTAAGGTAACCGGGACCCACTTTACTAAAAGGTAGCAATACATCCGTAACCCTAAGGGTGTTGCATATGTCCATCATAACATCAGGTGAACCGCGAGCTAACTTGCCACCTTCTCACATAAAATAAAATACGTACTTCAGCAATTACACCAACTGTGAAATAGCACCTGCTAATAAATATTGTTACATCGGCCTTTGGTAACAGACAATCCGGCTAATCTCTATAGTTGCAATTTACAAATTTAACAGAGTCACAACAATTTGATTAAAATGTTAAGAACTCAGGCGCAAAGCCATCGACTACAATGTATTAGTAATTGTAATTAATTAATCAAACACGCCTTTCTTCATTATTCTGTAAAGAACTACGGAATGGTTGGACAGATTCGGCCATCTTTCCTGAACTACTTTTTCTTTTGTGGGTATTAAATGTAGCCGCTTACCGTAAAGTGCAGAACAATGTCTGGCAGACGAGTCGTCTAGTCATACGTATTATGAAAGCTATGACATACAACTATGTGTTTTCGTTTTGCTTTTCAAAAGTTTATCTCAACATACATTAGTATTATTAAAATAAATAACTTTACCTCAACATACATTAATAACGTGTAATGTCTTCTAACTGCGTTTCCTGAAAGAACAGGGCAACAAAAGCTTTTCAGTAAGTGTTCTACGATCTATAATTTTGAAGTTATAATTTTTTAATGTAATTTTTTTACTCAATTTAGATTTTTATAAATACTTTGATGGTTACCGTTATAATATAAATTGAAATTCAGATGCTAAAAAACAATATAGATAAAATACGTTAAGATTTCCGTTGGTGTGGCAATCAGTCGTTTAGCTTAGTGGGTAAAGCGTCAACCCGCGAATGCCGAAGACGTGGGCTCGATTCCCACAGCGACGACAATCTGTTCGTACTTTTTCTACAAATTTTACTAAATTGAATGAAACCAGTATATCTGTCTAATTTATTACATTGATGTGTACAGTATAGATTTAAATCAAAATCTGGACTATGCACTCAGTGACAAGGTGGTTGCAACCAGCCGCCGAAATATAAACGGCAGCTACTTTCATCACGTGCACGTCACTGAAACTAAGTTTGGAGTTCGTCCAAATTCCGCTTCCGTGGCAATCTTAATTAGATCGCATTATCGGCTTTTTAATTACCTCTTCAATTGCACGTTTCACAGCGGCCCAACTCCAACATGTCGCTATTGATATACTAGCTTTTACTTACGGCTTCACCCACTTAGTCAATCGATTAATTAATACATAAAGCAGTGTATTAACGTCCTTTTTTATTTGAGAATATGGCAAGCGAGTTGGCGTTTCCCCTGTTGTTAAGTGTTAACCGCCGGCCATAGACATTTGCTACACCTGAGGGTTGCCTATTTATAAAAAGGGCCCCCCCAATTACGACACACAATTATATATATTAATTTTCGGCTCTACACACGGGCATATGTGCTTATGGTCATGTAAGGCCTATGTGGTATATACATGTGTTCTCCATGTTGCAAACACTAAATCTCAATATAAATTACAGATTCTACATAAAATTATTAATATGGGTTACTCACACGATACCTTCGGGCAATTTTGCAAGCAGTTTATCTCCCAGAACTTCTTCTCTGTTACAGAATAATAATAGTACTAACCTGTTGTGCCCATATTTTAACGATATTATTCAAATTTAAAGATCAACCGATATCCGAACTCGGGTCATAGCAATAGAAAGGTAAGCACCAACATTACAACCAGTGAAGAACTATCATCTGAAGGGCTATTCCCTTGGGAAAATCAGTACAGACATAATGCTATAATAAATTTATAGTAATAAATTTATAGTCTAGTACTAAACTAAGCAACGCTTGTACTATCGGTACTAGATAACAGACAATCATACTTTTCTTTTGTATATAAATAAATTTTATAATATATATTCATCAAACAATAGTTTTCCAATATTGGAGATCGAACCCACACCCTCTGGCAAGAGGTGCACTACCCATTACGCCAATCGGGTCTTCAGTCCGTAAAGAGTATGGGAATTAGAATTCTATAATTATTCTGCCTACCGCTCCGCCCGAATGGCGTCGGTATATTTACTATATGTACCGCTGTGGATAGAATTCACTTAGATTGTTTACCTAAAGCGTAATCTTTAATGGCCTAGCTCAGTCACGCAAGCTTTTCAACTTTCATTGTTTACATACGCATAATTCCGAGTAGCCGCATTTCTGTGCTTAGCCGCTTTCCTTTTATAAATATTGACAAGCGTCTTATTCTTGAAGTCACTCTGTGTTCAATTTTTGTTCCTTATTAACGAGTTCAATATTTTGTTATTCACTAAAATTTAATTATTTGTAGTCACAGTTTAAATCCGCAAATCTATTTCAACGCTTTTTTACCTTAGGCCGTATCCAAACGAGACCGTATTACTAAGACTACGATGTCTATCTGTCTGTACGTCTGTCACCAGGCTGTATCTCATGAGCCGTGAGAATTAGAACTGTTGAATTTTTGACAGATGACGTATTTCTGTTGCCGCTATAACTATAAATATTAAGAAACAGAATAAAAAAAGATTTAAGTGGGGCTCTCATACGTCAGACATGATTTTTTTTTGCTGTTTTTATAGATAATGGAAGGGAGATGGCAACCCTTCGTGCGCGAGTCTCACTCGCACTAGGCCGGTTTTCTCATTTCTCATCAACAACTCGATGATGACGTATTCTGTAAATGCTCTTACGTGTACACGCATCGCAAGTGTATTTGGAAATACATTATAATTTATTACTTAATCTATATATATAAAAATGGATTGCTGTTCGTTGGTCTCGCTAAACCTCGAGAACGGCCGAACCGATTTGGCTAATTTTGATTTTGAAATGTTTGTGGCAGTCTAGGATAGGTTTAAACGATGAGAAATTATG